GGGCTCCTGCTTAATCTTTCCAGCCTGATCTCATAGCAGTCACTTAGTGGAGGACACCTATTGGCTCATCCACCCCTGAGTAGCTGCCTTCTCTCACAGAACCATGCTCTAGCCTCTGCAGGAATGCAGCTTGAACCTAATTCTCATCTGTTGAGGTTATGGCAAACATTGCCTCTCTTCTCTGACCACCCCTCTACCCTATTCTTGGGTTGAATTTGGACTTTCCTCTGTGATCCCTGAGCACCTGGGGGCAAAACTCCAGCATTGATGTGAACACTTGCCACTATAACCCTTGGAACATAAGTCTTGCTCTCCAAATATACTGACAGCTCCAAATAGACTGAGAATGATTCTGCCTCGCATTTCTCCCTACGTCTTTGGTGCTGAGAAAGTGGTAGGTGCATAATGAATACATGATGAATGAAAGAGCCAATGATGGAATAAACAAAATCATGACGAAATAAATGGGAAAACCCAATAACATGATTTACATGGATACTAGGAGCCACACGTCCATTCTCTAGTTTCTTTTTATAACCTGAAATTCAGGTAGGGGAGACCTAGCCCAGAAAAAGTGGGTCTCCGGAGAGCTAGTTAATGCATCACAGCATCTTTCTCCTTATGCTCTTCAGTGAAGCATGTGTAGGCTTCTTTCCTGCATGGGGAAACCACTGTTAGCACTGACCCCATGGTGACCCTGGATTGCTTTTCTGGAGCTCAGGCTTCCAGCTGCATAGGAAAACTCCCCACTCTGTACACTGCATTTGGCTTTCACGGCACCATGGTCGCCTGGCATTTGTCATGCTGTGCTTCATCAGAGAGTTAATCAGGTTTGAGTTTTTAACAATGTGCTCGTCATGCTCGCTTAACTTAAAATCAAGCCTGTTCAGGCATTAGTCAGTCCCATTCACTCAGTCTGGTAGTTTTGGCCTTTAAAACTTTAGAATTTATCATCAAGGAATACTGTACATCGTTACAAAACACACTCTTATCATAAATTCTTTTATCTGTCTGAGGGGTTCAGGTTTGGAGACAGTGCTGCCATCAGGAAAGTGTCTGAGTATTAGCTCACCTTGGTATCATAACACATGGCCACAGATCTGGCGGCTGTAGACAATACACATTTATTATCTTACAGTCTGTAGATCAGAACTTGGACATGGGTCTAAGGTAAGGTGTCGGAGGGGTTGCATTCCTTCTTGAGGCTCTAGGGTAGACCTGTTTCTGGCTTCCCTCAGCTTCTATAGTTGCCCATGTTCTTTGGACTGGGCCCCTTGCTTCCTGTTCAAGGCCAGCAATGGCTGACAGAGTTCTCTCCCCATTGCCTTACTCTGATCTATTTTATGCCTACATCTACTTTAGAGGGCCCATGTGACTCATGAAAACTACCCAGCCAGTCCAGGATCACACTAACGTATGGACAGCTAACAAGCTACCTTAGTTTCCCCTTCCCACAGAACATAGACTACTTGCAGATTCCGAGGGCTAAGATGTGGGCATCTCTGGGGGCATCTCCGTGCTATCAATGATCTGCATGCCTCTGCACAGAGGAGAGGGGGGTCTTTTATTTAACAGCAGTGTTTCTAGCGGGGACTTTCCACAGCAATGTTCGTCACACAGAAGCTTGTTTGCAATATAAACACAGACTCTATTCCAGATCTTCAGAACCACACATTTCAGTGTCCTAGGGAAACAAATGTGTGTGTGTGTGTGTGTGTGTGTGTGTGTGTGTGTGTGTGTGTGT